AAAAAAAAAAAAAAAGCTGCGATCGCGATTGCAATCGGCGGCACTCCGGCGGCAGCTCCACCGCGCCGCTTTCTTCTTCGGCGGGAATTCGGCAGCAGGTGCTTCCCTCCGAGAGGGACCCGCCGCCGAATTGCCGCCAAACAGCCCGACGTGCGGCCCCTTCCCCTTGGCCGCCCCAAGCACCTGCTTGCTGGGCTGGTGCCTGGAGCCGGCCCTGGCACTGCCACACACAAGGCCTTGACAACTCCACAGCAACTCCTGCTCCTCTTCAACATTCCCACCATTGGTTTCACCACCATTTCTCTCAGGATAACAAAAGCTCCAGCACCTTTCTCCAGCTGGTGGTCAGAGAATACACAACAGAATCCTCTTTTGGGATGGACAAACTAGTCAAGTAATAAAAACTGACTTGAACATTCACCCCTTAATCTTTCAGTAATTGACCACTAGAAGCTGCTGACATCAAAAGTCCACCTCTGCTATGTGACATCTTTTCACTGTAGACACTGACAAGACCATCTTTGCAAGAGGGGTGTAGGCTGCCAGCAGCCAGCCCAGAACCCATTAGTTATGTTTATAATCTGGTGCACTAATCAGGGAGGCTTTTGTGCATCTGAGCACTAAATGGTGGAGAAATCAAAAATTCACTGGTGCTGAGAAACCATATGCTTGGGCTTCTCTTTAATAAAACCAGCCACCAGGAACTGTTCAGTAGATCTTTCACAGGGCAGCCTCTCATGTCATACCCCCTGGTGGCCCCCTCAGATCCAGAAAAGGAAGGAAGAAGTGGGAAAAACAGCATCCAGACCCACTCATTCTCTGTGAGTTCTATGGGGTAGGATACACCTCGCTGTGTTTGGTGCACCTCTGTAATGTTATGCATATAGTGATAAACAACCACTTCTTAGAAAAAACAGGCAGTTCACAGTAACTTCCTCGTTTCTGCCCTCATTGGCTTGCCTTTTTGTGTTTGCCCAGGGGGCATGTGTGGTTTTGTAGCCCAGGCTGATCTTCTGAGGGAGGGACATCTTAAAAATAGCAGCTGCAGCCATCATTAGACAGATCTCCTAAATGGGAACTTGGGAGGTCAAGGCACGGAAAACAAAACAGAACAGCCTTCCAGGGTCATGGAGACACAGAGAACTCCTTTGTGTATTATAAACTCATTCTTCATTCAGATCACTCATAAAAAAAATCTTTGACATCCGAAAAGCTAGTGCTGCTGTCCGTATACGAAAATAATATAAGCCCATACAAGCCAACAGGAGGAAAATATCCATGCCTGTTCAAGTCAGCCTCGTTTGGTGTCAGCCAGACTCAAATGCCACAAGCCTGGACTCAGCAGAGCTGATGCTGCAACAACATTTGTCCTAGGACACGAGTCCAAAAAGAGCTGTGCATTGCAGCAACCAACCCCTCCAGCACAGGCTCTAGCTGGCTGGTGTTGTGATCAAGTGTTGCTGCCTGGTGCCATTATGTCATCGTGTCGATCTATGCTGGGTTCACAAGACGCTTTCTGGATTGGCCCACACTGTATCATTAATCACAAAAGCATTGCATACACAGTAATGACAGTCAGAGATAGGCAGTGCAGGCTACGGGTTTAAAATGGAGACATATAAAGTTTAACAAGGCGCTCTGGGCACCATCTCCTGGGTCAGAGGGACCTGTGTGCCTGTTAAGATTGTTCTCTTGAGCTTGTAAACGGCATCGTCCACCGAGAAAGGACGACTGGCCCCAAATAGCATCAACAAGTGTGGTCAAAGAGAACAGCCCATTTCTGAGCAAGTTCCCTCCAAAGGGAACCTTTGGGAACTTGTCAGTGAGCTACCCTAAGTTCTGAGTTTTAACATAGCTTAGGGCCTTTGGAGTTTCACTGGGAATATTTCATAGCCCATATTAAAGGAAAAGCCAAAGTCTAACTTTTAACAATCAAATCTGCCCAGAGTGCCTTCCTTAGACTGGTACCACCAATAGCATCCAGAACTAAAGAGCTGCAGATATCAGGTAGTGGACTGTGTCAGGCAGATTTTTTTTCTAGAAAAAAAAAGTGCTATTGAGCGATTTCATTTTAGCCTGTTAGGGGCAGAGTTGGGTCTGAGCCATAATGTGAGGTTCCCTGAAGTCTGGATCTGAACTTTCAGAGGCTTTCAAAATGGGAGAATCCACAAAACATCAGACACAACAGACCATCAGACCAAATACTCCAGCACCAACACACTGCCTTCCCAAAAGCACAGAGGAGAGTTTTACTATGGAAGGCTGAGCATACTTAACACTTGTTTTACAACCATCCTTCTTTGCTTATCAACCACCGGTTACAAAAAGGAGATCACTGACTGATTACTGCTTACGCTCATCTGAGACAGGCTGAGAAAGCTCTAAATGTTTCTGCTTTTATTTCTCTTCAAGACATATTTCCTTGATGCTACTCTTCTTCTGATTATCTGCCTACCAAACCAAGCATGTGCCACAGGGGACAATACACAGCCGGCTCTGCAGGAAGTTTAAGGGGAGGAAGGGCAGGGTCAGTGTTCTTGGTTCCACATTGGGAATTTTATTCTTTTAAAGTCAAAATGAGAGTGCCTGCAGGGGACTTCATAGATATGCAGATCCACAAGGAGAGCAGCTGATTACTTCTGACTGTGGAAAACGATGCCAATCCTAGCACAACATGACCTCAGCTCATTCTGTCTTATCTAAGGTTTCTTCTATAACCCTTATCATTGTAGTATGCAAGTGCATCTACCTATGGAGAATGGTGGGGAAAGGACAGCTAATGAAATACAAGGATGTTATATATTAGCTTAAGAAACAGACTGGTTATGCTAACAGGGTCAGCAAAGGACAGTATAGAAAAATCTCATTACTCACCTTTACGCAGGAGTAAATGACTGAAACAAACACCACTGTGGTCAGGATCAAAAAACTGGTCAGGTAAAAACCCAACATAAATGTAGATCTGAAACCAGAAAGGGATTTTTAAAGATTTACACCATATAGAACAGTTACCGCTCTGCTTTTAGTCTTAGTACATCTGTACAAACTATAACATGTGGTATGGGCTTTCTCTCTGGCTAGGATGGCAGTAGGAGGTAGGAGATGCTTTGAATAAGGAGCTTCCCTGTTCCCTTTAAATTGCCGGAGTGGCAGCAGAGAGACTGAGAAATGTTTCATGTGCTAGAAGAGATGACAACATAATTTGTTACAGTGGGCCACCCCCAGGCTGGCAATGGATACCAGATTCACTGGAAGAGAAACTTGCTGCGCTTTAGAATTGAGGCCGCTGCAGCCAAGTGCACATGAAATATGCAGGGGAGACATATTTCAAGTCACACTTATGAGTCCATCCCCATCCTTTCATTTGCATCCTCTGTGAAGGACACAGAAACCTTGTATGGGCTAAGAAGGAAAATACAGAGAAATAGCCCATATCCAACAAAGTCATGAAGATGCCCAAGTTTCTCATACAGAGAATCTCTGCTCTACCACTTTGGCTGTCCTCCCGCCTAAGCTCAGGAACAAAGACGGCTAAGAGGGCATCAGAGCACTCATGAATAAAGCAGCAGTGCTGGGAGTCTGCATTGTGCCCCATCTCCTTCCACTCTTCCTTTCAGTGAAAACAGGATTTCCAAGCCAGCTTTGTGGTACACATTTTTGTTTTGATCGTGCAATTATTCAATAACATTTTGAAAGTTTCTGGTCTCAGTACAAAAGAGACAGGTCCCCTCCCATCCCAACACTTTAAATTATCAGTGAGGTTATCTTGCACAGTGACATTAAGACCAAACACACCAAAGCCAGCTGGTTTCCATGTTCTTCCATGACAGAGGCAACTGTCTTTGCTAATTCATTGTTTGAGCCTTCAAGGCATTCATTAAGGCAATTCCTCTTTATTATCACAAATGATCATTGCTATTTTGTGTGATGTTTCAGATTCTGCTGATATTTCATGAAAGCATTTGATGGCAACACACATACACATGGCTGCAGCTGCTTGTTAATTGCTGTCATCAGTAAAGACAACAATCATGCAATTAAGAATATTAGAAAAATGAATAAAAAATGTGATGGAAATATATATCTGGTCCAAAGATGAATCATGAAGCTTTGTTTACTCTAGAAACCAAATCAGCCTACAAACATGCCAAGCTATCCACAGGATGGTGGAGAATTTAACAACTCCCATGCAATGTGGGTATTATCCTATTCTCACTACTACTTGCCTGCAATATTATATATATATATATATATATATATATATATATATACACACACACACACACATCCCTATATATATAAATGCAATTAGCAGGAGTTTGTGTTTTGGGTTCTAATTTTGGGATGAATTTAATGGTTGTGAAAGCAAGGTGATTGATGGTGCTGGCAAATGAGTCCTCTTCTACATAGCTCAGCCAATGCACTTGACCACTGACCTCCAACTCCTTTGCTATTCTAGTCCTCTCCTAAGAAGATATTATCCATTTATACTAGATTTCTGCTATGTGGACAAATGACCACTACAGACTGGTACAGAACCTTAGAACCACCAAATTCAGGTTCACTTGTAACCCAACTCAGATATGAGTTTGGGTCTCTAGAGGTGTATGGTAACCCACACCACTTCCAGTCCGTCTTGCCAGTTAGCTAGTATTAATATATATGGAAAAATAATGCGCATGTATTGATCTCTGGTTGTTATATGTTCTCCATTACCGGAGTATCTGAGCACCTCACAATCGGTAATGTATTTGTTCTCACAACACCCCTGTGAGATAGGGAAGTGGTGTTATACTCATTTTGCAGACAGGAAACTCATGTTGTTATACTCATAAGACACAGAGTAAAATTTTCAAAAGCATCCAAGTCCCATTTTCAAAAGACTTGGGCATCTAGCATCCTAAATCTCATTGACTTTCCTATACGTGGGTTTCCATACTAGAAAAAGCATTCATGCAGATTTGGCCATGCACATAAATGCAGTTTGGAGTCTGAAATGTCAAGCCCAGTAGGTTTTGCTATACAGATTAGACTAGTTGACTATAAGGTCCAGTATCCTGCCTGTGGATTCTTTTGAGGAAAGCTAAAAGTGCTCAAGATTATGGGAGTCTCTAAAACACCTGGAAATAAAATTTCAAAACATCAAATATTTCTGCCCATAAGAGAAGACTGGCAGGCATACAGCATATGCCACATCATAATGAAGCTGCTCCGATTTCCTTGTGTAATACAGAACAGAGAGAGCCAGCCAATAGGACGGCCAAGGGCACAGACATTTTTTGTCAACCCTTTCAAAAAATGTTAAATTAGCTCTAATTAAATAGTCCGGTAGCTGGTATGGTTAGAGTATGTCTTCACTACTGGCCGGATTGGCGGGCAGCGATGGATCCAGCGGGGATTGATTTATCGCGTCTAGACTAGACGCGATAAATCTATCCCTGAGCGCTCTCCCGTCGACTCCTGTACTCCAGCTCGGTGAGAGGCGCAGGCAGAGTTGACAGGGGAGCGGCAGCAGTCGACTTACCGTAGTGAAGACCCTGCAGTAAGTAGATCTAAGTACGTCGATTTCAGCTACGTTATTCACGTAGCTGAAGTTGCGTAATTTAGATCGATCCTCCTCCCCCTTCCCAGTGTAGACCTTGATGGGCATATCGAACCCCTTTAAAAGGGCTTCTCTCACAAAGGTATGAATTCAAGGCAGCAGTATCAAGTCAGCTGATCTAAAGTGTAAACCTTTGCAGAACCTGGGCAAACATGAAAAGAACAGCTTTAGTGATTATTAAGCATGTATGAAGTGCAGGGATTGACCTAATTTCAGTTTTCAGCCTCTGATTTCCTTAAATGGATCTGTCTCTTTATACATTGTATTTCTGCTGCTGCTATTCTGCTTTGTTGATTCTATCATTCCTCGAGCAGTGGCAACCTTCCTTTTGCCTGGGGGGAGGAGAAAGAGTGACCTCAAACATCATATTGCTTCTGTGGCCCGGACAGACATTAATCTTGCTTTCTTAGATTGGAAGAAGATAAATTGGAGCATTTCTGACTCTTCAATTATATTATTCTTGAGATTAAAAGTGACCGATTCTAAAATTATCTTAGGAGCACTTTCTATTTTTAGGTGCCCAATTCACGAGAAAGCATCGCTACTGAGCCAGTTATGGTCTCTGAAAAAACACAAGCACACTTAGTTTCTCATTTTTCAATAACAAAAATGAAAATTCTGAAGCATCGTCTTTTTTGAAAAGATCCTCTGGGCTAGGTTGTGCCATGAGGCACGCATCTGAGCACAGGGCCATGCATACGCTGCACCAGTCCAGAAGGCATTGTATCTCTGACACACCTACGAAGCACAATTCCTTCCCACTGCCTCTCTTGCCTGGCTGGGAGAGGGTGAATAAATGACTGCAGCCCTTGAAACGACGCTCTGCCCATTCTCTGACCTCCCCACTCATTTGTTCATAGAGCAAGGCAGAGCTTTGCAACAGTATTCAGATCCAAGATCCAAGTAGGCTGAACAAGAGGATTGTGGTGGATTGCTTATTCCCCCATCCTCCTCTGCTCAGCTGCATTCAACATAGGCCCACTCTAGCCCTGTATTACAAAGACTTTACTGCCTCAGTAGACAATCCTTTCTATTCTAGTGATCTGGTTTTGTGTGGGATTATAAATATACTAAATCAAACTTCTCAAATGAGAGGTAAACATTAAAGGAAATCATGCCGGCAAAATGAAAATCCTTGCATGCCAAGCATAATATACCATAACTAGAAATGAAGGCATACAATAAGCATCGTACATTACTTAGGCATGCATTATTTAAAGACTTTTGCTTCCTTTTGATGCACTGAAGCCTCAAGGACAGAGAAAAAATGCCAGAAAGCAGAAAAAGTGATAGAGAGCGACTCACTGGGGCACGATTGTGATTTGGACAAAGCAGATGAAGAGGAAGACGAGGGAGGCACAAGCCACATAGGCTCCAAATCTGTCGTCCACTTGCTTGGAGTACTGCGAGGAAGTAAACAGGCTTTTATAAGCATAGGTAATACATATAACCACCCCCTAAGCCCCACCAAACCCCTCATTCAGCACCCAGCACCCTCTGGGTTCCCCAAGAAGCACCACTTGCAGAACTACCACTTAGAGAAGTGTGAAAATTTCCCCTTACTTTAGCCTATATTTTGGGGCTCCCTCCCCCCAAAAAGATCTCAGGGCTGTGGAAAGGTCCTGTGCAGATGGGAAGAAGATTTATATTTCGTCCATTTCCTGATGTCTGTCAAAATAGATAAATCTGAAACAAAGGGCACAGCTGTGAGATGTTGACTCATTCCATCTGGGGCTCTCTCCAGTGGGGATAAATAGTTAAACATGGCCAAGGCTTTTTAAGGCTCCTAAACTGAGTTTATTTGGTGTCATATTCAGACTGCTCTCTGCTATATACACATCTTCTTTGGGATTACTCACAAGGAGAATCTCTTGTTTAAACTAAAATCTCTGGGGCATTACTTTGAGTGTATCCTCTTTGGGATCCACTTTTTGCTTTGTGTCTGTACAGGCTCTAGCACAATGGAGACCTGATCCCTGTTTGGGGTCTGTAAGCGCTGTTGCAGTACGAATAATAATAGAGACAGCTGGGAACTGTAGTCCAATTGGAGCAGGCCAGTGGATGCTCCAGAACAATTTGCCTGCCCTCCAGGGATCTGGGGACCTATCAAAGGCCAAGGTAGAATTGATGGATGCAACTTATATGATACAAAGACCTTCTGAGAAGGGTTTTTTCCCCCCTTCACCTTTTCTTTGGAACAGAATCCAGTGCAATTTTTTGTTCATGCATTAAAAGGTAACGTGTCAACAAATCACTGCATTTCACCAGAAGTGAAAGATTATTGTGAAAACACCAATTTCTTGTTTGCCTCTTTCAAGCCTAGTGAGAAAACATTGTTTTTCGTGGTATCTGCCAGTGTTAAAAAACACTTGCGCAGTTTTAGTTGGTTCTAATGAAAATGTGAGGTTGCCACAGGTTCTCATTAATTCACAACATTCACATTAGTGATCAGGTATCAGGTATAAGGTATCACCAGACTCCTTGTTACATTAGTGATCAGTGTCAGTCACAGATGAGCTGTGTCCAATTCCTAAACGTGTCCTCTGTGCTGCTAGAACTGCAATTCTTAGTCCAAACAAATTCAATCCCTAAGCTGTGAAACAAGGGGGCCCTTGAGATATGTGAACCATTCAGTTTTCTTAAAAATTTAAAATCAAATGTGGAAAATAACATGCTTACACTTCTGATCAACGCTAATGTGATCCATTCAGAATTGAAAAAATACTGCAATTACTGCAAAGACATCTTGCTCTTTAACTAGATTAATCACTGTATCCTCTTTTTGCAGTACAAACATAATTGGTAAACATAGTAATAGAATAGCAGACTCAAACTTAACCTGACCAATACAAAATTTATAGATATGGCTTTTCCTGTTAAAAATATGGCTCACCTTTTATTGTTATTATTAAGGGTTATCCTAAAGACAGCTCACATAGCCCTAAGGCTCACATTATTTAGGATTAAAAAAGGCAGAGCTTAAATTTTCCCTAAGCAGTGCGTGCGTGCGTAAAATAATTTATTTACTCATATAGTACACACCATTGTAGTATGAGTGTGCCTCCAAACTTATTTTGAATTTATTCTCACATCCCTGTGAAGTAGTATTGTCTCCATTTTACGGGCAACTGAAGGGCAGAGAGATTAAATGCTTTTCCCCAGATCACACAGGATATCTGTGGCAGATCCAGATTTCCTAAATCCTGTTCCTTAGCCTCAAGATCACCCTTCCTCTCCTAAACTGTAGAAGAGAGCAGTGCAGTTTAGAAAGAGTATAATTTTGAGTGACACCCACGACACATCCTCCAATGATCAGTAATGGGCACAAGAACATCTTGATTTCACTCTGAAGTTCACTATTGCTATAGGTGAGAGAGAAATGGCTCAGCATGCATTCCTACCCAATGGTGCATTTCTATCAAATGTTTCCTTCAACAGATACACTGTGTCCTCTAAAAGCAGGTAAGTTAAAATCTCCCTAGAGGAACTGAAGTGATAAGTGGGGGGAAAAAAGTAAAGTAACTCCAAACTGTAGGAAGAAGATTTTAAGCTTATATTGGACAAACAAAACTAACAATAGACTTTCTTCATCCGAGAGAGTAGTTATTGGGGAATCTTACCTTCTTCTCTAAGTCAGGCTCCCTGAATGTTAAGAGAAACTTGCGAACATGCTCAGAGCGTAACCGATCAATACTTCTGGCATCGATTGCACGGCCCAGAAACTCATCCACCTCATCCTCTGGGTTCATGCTTTCTTGCGTGTTCCTGAGGATGTCACAAAAATGGAAGAGAATGGGAACTTTACAGAGCACTCAGCTTGATCTTTTTTCGGCAAAGAGGCCCAAAGGAGTGCACCGGTTCACCGTAGAGCCACCTGGATGTTAATCGCTTCTCATTTATTACAAACTTTAGCTGGATAATCTCCAGGTGAAATGTTATCAGCTATCCAATACATTGTCAGTGCTCATCCGTCTGTCTTCACCCAATTAAGATATTTGATATAGATGTCTTTCCCCATCATCAAGGTGTTTGCTTTCGTTAAACGTGTATTTTTATCATACATCAACCTCTAAAACCACATGGATTTTCCCACCGTTATTCTTGTGCTTTGTTTTTTCCCTATATTTCATTCCTGCTATGTATGACATTGCCTGAGTTGGTCAAAAAACATGGGGAAAAAAATCACAAAAATTGTCAAAATCTTCCACACGCTGACCCAGCTTGAAATTTTAGAACTTGAAAATTTCTCCAGCTTTGTTTATCTACAGTGTTGTCAGGAACAGTTAAAGGTGTCGGGCATGACTCGCCACTGTGTCATTCCTGAGTAGTTATTTACAGCTTGGCAAAGTATAAATTGATACCAAATCGGAACTTTCCATTTGTGACATTTGGGGCAGCCAGGGCTGTGAGTCTCCTCATCACCACCTGCCTCCAGCATGACAGTCTTGCTTGTGCCAGGTGGGCGTTAGCTCCCCAACACAACCAGCCTGTCAGCCACTCAAGCACTCTTCTTTGGGCTACACCAGCTGACTCTTTGCTTTGCAAATTGACTATAGATGCACCCTAAGTCATTTCAAAGTGTTCCCCTATGGTATCCAGCTGCAATCACTGGATACTCACAGAAATCCCAGATCCTCTGTTCCCAAAAGAACAGTGTACCACAGTTTATCTGTTTTACCTTAGACCACCGCTCCTGTATTACGCACAGCACTTGAGTACAATTATAAAACAAAAGAAAAACATATTTAAGAAAGAATAGAAATTCCAATAAAAACCAATGTGAGAGATGGGAACAAATGGTTCCATATAAAACAACGTCATAACATGTACTCTAAAGCCTAAACTTAACTAACTATACCACTGCAAACAAGTTATCCTCCTGTCTTAAGAAGTTCATCTCATCCAAAGCTCTCTCCAGCATTTTCAACCAAGCCTGGTTGAGATCCCTTTTTCATGAAGCAAACTGGCTCTCGGTTTACTTCCTAGGCGAAGGACACCAGAGTGTCTCTTTGCACCTCCAAATATACAGAACAGACTTTTGAAGGTCACCTCAAGATAGGGTCCCTCCCCCACTGTTTACCCTTCCTGTTAACTTTCTTCTCAAGTCTCTGCCAGCTCTTCATTAGCATTTGCCTTAGAATGCTAACAGACTCCTATTGTAGGATATACAATACACAATAGCCCCCATGGAGATAAGTGATTCCCATCTCCTGTCTGGAGAAGTTTATCTCAAGACATGCTACCTTTGAGTGACCCTGTTTGTAACTACAGAGATGACAATTTTAGATATATACACATAACTCCTCACATATTCTCCGTACATGCATCTCACAATGGTCATGATGACCAGTGCGACACAGGCTTTCATTAGAGACCGTGCATGACATTCTTTTGGGGAACCTAGGGGGATCCCTGTACCCCTATAAACCTCAGGGATCTGTGCCAGCCCTGGCAGCTCTGGCATCCCGAGGTTCTTGGGTCAAACCATTTTCTTGTGCAAATGATATTATTTTATACCTTTAAGCTAAGAGAAAAGATGACACGAGGTGGCAAGGCAATGTGGAGTCAGATCCTACTTTCCAAACATATGGACCAAGATTTTCAAATGATTAGTGATTTTCAGTCCCACAGCTTTTTTCATACCACAGTTTTTCCGATGCCTACATAGAGCCACCTTAAAGGGATGTAATTTTAAAATAGTGATGAAAACCAACAGTCTGAAAATCAGACTTCTTTAAGGTCTCAAGTTGAGCACCCAAAAAGTAAGGCACTAATCATTTTTGAAAAACCTTAGTCAGAATTTTTATAGCTTGACATTGTCTCTTTAATGGTCTGGCTTAAACTGACGAGGCAGAAATTAAAAGCTAAAGCTGAAATTTTGTTATTCTGCTCAGTTTCCATGATGCCCAAGTAAATATAGCTTGTATTAGGACAGACCCTAATGTGATTCCTGATTCCAACTGCAATTCTAATTGATTCCAGGGCAATATACAGCCCATGTTAGGCAAAATCAACCATTGTTCAGACACTCCTAAAAAATGAAACCTAAAGCACAACAGGGCAGGATGAAAGATGGTATTGCCGGCTGAGTTTTCTGGGTTTTGTCAGTGCTATATAACACTGGCTAATGCAGGCATATAGCATGAATTGTAACAAACCCATGGCCAACAGACCTCTGTAGGTGTGAGTAAGATGCTCGCAAAATTGGCCAAAACATAATCGGGACTTCTGTTTCAAAAGCCAATGCCCCACAACACTGGAATTAAAGGAGACTTTTCGCTAGCTTTAGCATTATTGGACCTGATTTTCAGAAGAGCTCAATACTCACAACTTCAATTTAAGTCAACAGGATCTGCATATATCTGACAAAAAATAATAATCAGGCCCCACTGTCTTATGACACACCATTGATCATTGAAATTCCAACCAAAAGAAGACAGTGATAGATATATGCAGTAGACAAGTCATTACAATACATCCTCAGCATTCAAACAAGAGGCAGTCTGGCAAATGCAAATAGTCTTTGTCTCAGTTCCTCAATGTTGTTATAGAAAGGGTTTGCATTTCAACAGGGGTCAGGGAAAGGAGAAGGACTGTTTTTATTTTTGGACACCACAGTTATTTAATCCATCAGCTAGTATATATTCCACTTCTGAAATGCAATTTAGATTTCCCCGTGGAGGAAAGGAAATTCAATTTACTTCTAGATGTTTGTTTTAAAGAAACCACATCTGCTTAAGTACATAAAGAGCCATTTTTTATTTTTGCTCAATTGTCATAATCCTGTTCTCTAGTTTCATAAAAAGAGCAAGGAAATTACTAGTCCTATTTACAGAATGCATTCAAAATTCCTGCTAGTTATTTCTAGATTTGGACAATTTAAATGTAGCCATTTTTATATCACATGAGAGTTGCAATAATTTTCTCCAAGAATCCAAGGTTAAAACTCATTGCCATCTCAGTGAGCCTCAGCTAGATTCAAAGTTCCAGTCTAACAGCACAGCCTGGGAGGAACTGGGAAGGAGAACTACCACTTTGGGTAGTTTTTGACTGTGGCTGGCTGGTTCAGGCTTAGTAATGGCCTATGCGTCATTTCACCACTAGGTTGCTGGTTTGAATCCAGCCAAAGTCTCAAAGTGTTATCCCGTCGCAGTTTGGTAGCCTTGAGTTGGTTGCCTCAGAGCAGTTCCTTTTGGACATTAGTCCACATCACCTTTAGCAGTACACTTCTTGCCACAGATGCCAGAGTAGAGTTACATTGGTCGAGCAATGAAGGGTGTGTGTAGAAACTTTGATTGATACTGTTTTATGTTATATGGCCCTGGGGAAGGAGAGCATGTTAGGGTCCCTTGCTGTCAGACAGACTTCAAAATTATTATTCTGGCTTTTGGAAGCATTTAAGCTGCATCAAAATGCTTAAACATGAGGAAGCCCATCCCGCTGGTACTCTGAAAGACCTCCTAGGGCAGTGGTGGGAAACCTACGGGCGCCCATCAGCGTAATCCGCTGGTGGGCCACGAGTCAATTTGTTTACATTGGCATGGCCGCCCGCAGCTCCCAGTGGCCGCGGTTCACCGTTCCTGGCCAATAGGAGCTGTGGGAAGTGGCGGCTAGCACGTCCCTGCAGCCCACGCCGCTTCCCGCAGCTCCCATCGGCCAGGAACGGCGAACCGCGGCCACTGGGAGCTGCAGGCTGTGCCTGTGGACAGTCAATGTAAACAAACTGTCTCGCGGCCCACCAGCGGATTAGCCTGATGGGCCGCATGCGGCCCGTGGGCTGCAGGTTGTCCACCACTGTGCTAGGGTTTTAACTCTTCTTCCCCCCCCCAAAAAAAAAATTAACAAACCCCCCTCCCCATAACTTTTATTCTTATTGAGTGACACCTCCTCCTAGAGACTCCACTCAGGGCAGGGTCATTACTCCAAAGGACATGAAACAACCTATTTACGCCCTGTCGCAGGAAAGATCAGTAGAAATTCCCAAGCATGACTCTCATGGAGCTTCCTGAGCCACTTGTCATTTTGCCATGTCACTTCCAGGGGAGGTGCCAATTTGACCCTAAAACCAGATATTTTACAAATGGCAGTGGCAACCGATTCAATTCAGCTCCCACATAGCTTGATTCATTCACATCAAAGACCTACAGCCAAATAACATTCCTCTGTTATTTTAATCACACCTCTACAATAAAAATTCTCTCATAAATAAAAATATCTTGGTAATAAAGATGCTTTATTAGTAAACACAACTGGCAATTAATCTATGGTTGTTTCCCCCCACCCCTCCTTCTCACTGCTGGCCTCTTCCTCTACTTCTGTTGCAAACACATTTAGTGAGCAACAGGTTAATATCAGTAGTGAGATCAAATAATGCAATTATTAGGATTTAATTCTTAATAGCATTTTTGTTGTTCAAAATTTAGAGGTAAAACCTCAGAGTTAATATGATCTTGAAGAATCTTTAAAAAAAAAAAAAACAGCAGATTTTAAGACAGACAACTAACTGGAATATATGCCAAGAAAAAATTCTGTTGAGAGCCAACTTCATAGTCAAAAAAAGAGGCAAGCAAGTAAAGATTTAAGGCATAAACTGGTATATGATCCTGAGTGAACTGGAAAATTTAGAGCAAGTATCACTCATTTTAATGAGCTGCCAGCGATGAATTTAACAAAAAAGGATCATCTTTCTTGGAAATTTAATATCAACATCTTGTTACCATATCCGTCTCATAATGGCCCAGCATCGTTAGAGAAACATCCTTTATATGTAAATTTTCTTCTGGGTATGTTTTGAAAACAAACAAACAAAAAGATAAGGAATGTTGAGGGCGAGGAGCAGAGTAAGCATTTTTGTCACAGAGGTTTGTTAGAACCACTGGGAATAAATAACTTGACAGAATTGGTCTTTTATTCACACAGGCCAACATTTTCAGAAGCAGCCAGGGATTTTGGTTGTCTCAATTTGAGAGACCGTAAAGGGGCCCAATTTTCAGAGGCGCTGAGCACCCACAACTCCCACTGGCTTTACTGAAAAACTGTGGGTGCTCAGCCTCTCTGCAAATCAAGCAAGATGTTTCTAAGTTGGACTACCAAAAACCGAGGCACTTAATATCACTGGCCGCTTCTGAAGATTTTGGTCACAACCCTTTGTACTGGAGGGAGGGGCCCAAAACTCTGGAATGCTGTTCCCTTCAACATATGCCAAAGTTCACAGATGACATCCTTCTCTCCAGGCTGAAGGCTTCCCTGTTTCAATATGAATTTTCATGGAGTGGGCTTGACTTTATGTATTCATTGAAAAGCATGACCCCAGTGGGTTTAGCACAGAACTGGGAGCCAAGAACTCCAGAGTTCAAATGCTGGCTCTGGCAACATCTCCTGGTGGCAAGTTGCAACCTCTCTGCCCCAGCTTCTCCTCCTGTAAAATGGGGATAACTATTCTTACTTACCTTATTACTTGATAGGGCTGCTATGAGGGTTGGATAATGTTTGTAAAGTGATTTATAACTATAAGGTAGGGCCCTGCCTGTTGTGGATAACAGAGTAATCCATTTGTTTAGTGTCACAGTAGGATAGCTTTCATTACCCATAAATCAACTCTGATAGATGGTGCAACTGACTTCTCAGTATATGAACCCTCATTCACAAGTATCCCATTACAGCCCCTGTTCTGTTATTTCTCTCTCATTTGCTTCATTTAGGAAATGAGCCCAGTGTAAGTGTACACAAGTTAACTCTTATTTCCTGGCCCAACTGCTCCTCTACATTACCACCTACTACAGGTAATTTCATTGGCACTAGCAGTAGAATGACTCTAAATGCATTTTACATCTCTCTTATCTGGCTGGGTTTCTTCTATCTGAGCTGCCACTTCCCCTAAATGAATGATCTGCCAGCTAAAGCTCTGAGCATTGATATTGCCTTTGCTGGATCGACAAGCTGACATGGGAGCCCCTGTAAGTGTAGCGATTGTGTAACACTAAGGGAGTAAGAGTTCTGCCTCAACTCTCTTGTCTCAGGGGTTCCTCTATTTCACTACTGGAGCTAGGAGGATCTCTTACTGTCCTCTCCCACTTTATAATCCCCACTCCCATCTTCCCTGAGCTGATATGCTGAACCCATTCCTATTGAAGGCCATCCTTACTGTTCCTTAACTGGTAAAGCAAAATAAATAAATAATAATAGCAGCAGTGGTTATTGCTCAAGCGCTCTTGCACAAGAAGTGCCCTGGGTAAGAGAATGCCATGTGTGCCAGCATCATTTATAATTCTCTAGGACAGGTTCTGCAACTGGCACTTAGACTCCTTCTCAACAGAGATGCTTAAAACAGAAGGTAATTGGAAATGGACTAATCTTCACACTCATGGAGGTGATGCCTGTAGATTAGCTGCCCCTACAGGAAACGTCACTGCCACTCTTCATGCTATGACTTCATCCGTGTATAAAAAAGATGGGGACTCCCGTCTCCACTGTTGGAAACTGGGCATCTGTCTCAAACGCTAATTTCACATTAGGAAAAACAAACAAACAAGAATGTAGAAACACAAAACATTTATGACAAAATTTGCTTACTTGTCCTTGGGATCCTCAAAACCCTGAAAGAAAGGAAAATGAAACATAACAGTTAGGAAACAGAATGACCTTGGATACAACAAAGAATTCTGAAGGATGGCATTTCATACAGGAGCTTGCACAGTGTACATTTGTTATATGTTGATGGAGAACCTTGCCAAGCCAATACAATATTCTCTGTCTCTATATCATTCATCAGATAGATTGGACAGAACACAATTTTATATAAATACATGTCTTAAAATAAACATAGGAAAGTTAAAGGTAAGAGAATGGCTTCTGCTCCTTCAGTTGATCTTTGTCATGCATTTGCTGTGCCTTTAAGAAAAGGTTACTGATACAAGTGATGCAATACACACTTGGGTCAAAATTCAGACAGACAGGTGGGTGCAACTCCATTGTAGTTAATGCACTGCTAGCCTGCACAATGTATGAATTTGGCTGATGTTGTCTGCCTCCAATCACAGGAAGGGCTTATATAGTTAGATATCCATTTCTTCCTCAATACTTACTTTCATGAGTCTTTGCTCTCCCATGTCTAGTTTTGAAGTCTTTCGTTTTCTTAAAGTCATTTCTCTTATTAGGGTGGGATTTTCAAAAGTGCTCAGAGCTGGTCTAACACAGTGAAACTTAAATGGGAGTAGAATTTGGCCACGGTTTTTGAAATTCCCATTCTTGGAATTTTATCATGCCAAGTATTTTGCGTAAGCATAGACTTTTCAGCCATCAAAACAGTGGATAAGACATTAATGGACTATTTATTGGGGATCCATTTAGTTAAGCATTACTAACAAAATCTGTTCTTTTTCAAGCCCTTCCATGCTCCCCTTTAACACGAAAATGCATCTCTATGAATGGGAAGGGGGAAATTTCTTGTATTTTGGCAAGTAAATTAAAATACACTCCAGGATCATTCAGGTTTATTGAATGAGCTATCTACAGGTTTACAGGTCCAACAAAGCCCTGAGAGTTGTTTGAAGGGTCCCCAGAGAAAAAATATGCATTTATCTGCAATCTGAAATGTCTATTAACATACCTGAGAGAGCAGAATAGCTTCATAAAATAGGTCTTATATGGACTGGACCAAAATCTGCCTTCAGATACCCAGGTACGAGTCTCACTGAAATCAACAGGAGTTATGCCCATGTACATGAGGGCAGAATTTGTACACTGTGTTAAAACTCTAGCAAATGTAGTGATGACAGATGTAGGATTCCATGGGGGTTTTGTGCATCTCAATGACTCCAGCTCAACTGTGTTTATTTTACAAGTAAAATGATGGTATGCTATACTACTGGGGGAATTCTGCTCTACTGCATGCGTGCATAATTAATGAGCCCCACATATTTTTTTTTTGTGCAAAGAAAAATGCTTCTGTCGAAATGTTGCTGCAGCTCTGCCTTTTGCCCACCAAAGGGTGCTGTGATGCAAGAACAGCAGCAGCTCCCTGCCTGCGAGGGAAGGAAGAGAGCAGCCTTCTTCGCAGTGGGCCAGGTCAGGAGACAGGGGTTATAGGGAGACAGACTACCTGGGAGGTCAGATAGGGGCTCATAAGGGCTAGTGGGGGAGGACAGACTGGGGAAGGGGCTGAATGGGAGTGGAGGCACAGGGCCACATGGTGATGGGGGAGCGGGTGCAGAGCTACATAGGGACAGGGGAGTGGCTTGGTGGGGGCACAGAGACACATGCGGTCGGGGTACAGGGACACATAGGGACAGGGGAGTGGCTGGATGGGGCACAGAGACACATGGGGACAGGGGAGTGGCTGGTGGGGGCACAGAGACACATGGGGACAGAGGGAGGGGGTGCAGGGACACATGGGGACAGGGGAGTGGCTGGGTGGAGGCACAGAGACACATGGGGACAGGGGAGTGGCTGGGTGGAGGCACAGAGACACATGGGGACAAGGACAGGGGGTTCAGGGACACATAGGGACAGGAGAGTGGCTGGGTGGGGGCACAGAGATGCATGCGGATGGGGGAGGGGGTACAGAGCCACATAGGGACAGGAGAGAGGGATGCAGGGCCACATGGGGATGGGGGGAGTGGGTGTCTGAGTCGGGATAGAGGGACACATGTGGACAGGGGGTGCAAGGACACATGGGGGTGCAGGAATACATGGGGATGGGGCAGATGTGCCTGACTGAATGGGAGATGCTAGGGGTCAACCAGGGTCTGGAGGGGGGAAGCTCCCTAACAATCCCTCCTTGACCCCCCCAAAAAACCTGTCCCATACTTTTCCCACCCATAACCCAACAACCCTCCAAGTTCACACCCAGGCTCCTTCCCAGCAATTTACTTCCCTCTCCCTCAACTCCTCCATTACCCCGACTCCCCCAAGCCTTGGCACTGCTTCTGAGGGGGTGCGTGAAATACGGTTCTGTATTGTAGTTTAAATGAATTATTACTCAGAGTTCTGTATTAATATGCCTACTAAGAAATCTGAATCTTTTTTGTCATCTGTATTGTTACAGACATACTTGCTAACAGGTATTTTGAAATACATGACCAAAAATAATTGAAACTGGTGTGACTACATTGTGTTATTTTGACAAATAAAATGTGCAGAATTTTAATATATTGTACGCAGAATTTTTAACTTTTTGTTGCAGAATTCCCCCATGAGTAATGCTAGCACTGCAATCTTAGCCTGGGTACTGAGATTTAATGTGGATCCTTTCCATACACAGCCTGCTGGCCAAATCCTGCCCACAACTGCATTTGTTCAATGACACTGGAGACAATGGCATTGAACAGTTGTAAATGAGGGTGAAAATTTGGCCCTGCAACTGGAAATAAGTTATCAATCTGGTGATGCTGTCAGAATCCTGCACATTTTCCCTAAGCTGGGTAGGCTTTCTGGGACGAACAAGAGAAAACATATTTTTGTCACTGAAATCAACAGGTCTGATTGTCTGAATACACAGAGCAGGTCCATTCAACAAGAAAGTGCCATTTTTACAGTCACTTTTCAGACTAAACCCACACTTTAAAATAGAAACTGCAACTAAAACACTGCCATTCAGGCACGCAGAAAGAGGAACCCTCCTGTCCCCCTGCTCTTCTTTACTAACTACTAGCAGACTAATGCCGAATGGGAAGGAAGCATGTTTTACATGCCCAGCAAACTTACTTAGCATGGCCAAGCAACTAAGCCAAAGAATACTACAAGTGCTTTTGGTTTAAGGTTAAAGAGGGACTGAAATATCACTCAGATATTCGTTTTGCTTAAATTGCTTTACAGCTGTCAAAAGAGTTGATTTTTTCCGCACCTGTATGGAATTTTACAAGATGGTGCCAGAAATAAAAGCCCACTGATTAACCATGTAGACAAAGTGCTCATAATTTGCCTGGTGTCATAGCTAGTTGCACTGACAAAAGAAACCATCTGAACGTGAATAGCTATCACCCAACAAATGGGGCGGGGTGAACCTTAATGTAAAAACACAGACAGTGCTTGTTAAATATAAAGTCCACATTTTCAGACATGGGTTCCTGGGAGTTAGGGAACTAAATCCATACACAGGAGCCCAAATAAGTGGCCTGATTTTCAATGACAGCTGAATAGCCACTGTTCCTACTGACTCTACATGTTGACACTACATACTGATACTGAACTCCTAAATTTCAGGTACCCAAGTTTGAAAATGTAGACCAACCGGGTCAATTTCCTAAAGGACACAGCAGTGATTCTCATAAAAACAGGTGAACACATTACAACGGGCAAACTTTCACAGGTCAACAGAAATCTGACAATCATGCCTGACTGCCCATTTGAGTGTGCAATTACCTGGTTTGCACAAGCAAACTTGGATTTTTTTCTGACAAGCCCATTTAAAACATTAAAAAATAATATTGGGTTAATTTAGACTCTTGTTTAAACACTAAAACTTGCTTGAAACACTGGAAATGATTAATGAGAGACTTCTATACTAGTAGTTCAACTTACGCTGTATTCTTAAAATGAAAGACTCAAAAATGCATACATCAGGTATAGCAAAAATATATTACTCACTTTTTCTTTTGGGACTCTTCTCATCTAATGAGGTTAAATATTTAAGAGTGACTTGAATTTTAATTGAAGGGAAGCAGCTTAAAATTATATTTAGTGGGAAACTCTTTAGCTAAGTAAATTAAATTATTCACTTCAAATACTCCCATTTTGAATGAATGATGGCTTCTTCATACAGCAAAACTCATAAAATGGAATTATTAGGCAAGAGAACCTGCAAGCTGATTTTTTTTAAATGCACTGTCTAAAAGGCTAAGATATTATTAAAGGAAATACTCCTTATTTGCACAGAAGCACTTCACTGGGATACGGAAAACATTGCTCAGGGATTCAATGGAGACAATCTTAGGGTACTTCCCCATAACATTTCCTCAAGTAGACCCTCTTTAAGCAATTGGCAGAAGAGCATAATCAGTGTTTGGAATTTTCCACATACTTTAGGGCTCTATTCTGCTCTCAGTAAGCATATGAATTTTTTGCATGATGCCTGTTAGTGGAAATGACATGCCTTTTGAGGCCAATGGGAGTGTGGAGCTGGTGTTCGGGGTGGGGGCAGCGTGCGGAGCCCCGTGGCCTCCCTGCCTATGAGCTGGACCTGCTGCTGGCCACTTCTGGGGCGCAGTGCAGTGTCAGAACAGGTAGGGACTACTAGTTTTTAGTGGCCAGCCGTCAGGGTCCCTGGGTGCTGAGCAAGGCGACCCAGTGCCTTGCATTCCATGACCCAGCACTGGGTCGCGACCCAAACTTTGAAAACCACTGCCTTAAACAACAGTGCTCGGTTGAGAAGCTTAAAATATAGGTGTTGTGAGTGCCCAATACCTGTGAAAAATCAGGCCTTGTCTTATCTACATAGCTTGTTTTAAGTCCTCTCCTCAAGTGTCCTTCAGTCTGGTAACTCAATTTGCTCTCTGCTTGGTGAGGTTTAAGGATCCTCTATGTAGATGTGTACACCTTTTCATTCCAGGTGCAATTCAGTGAGTGGCCTTGTAATATTTAAAGTCCTACATGATCA